ACATGACGAAAGCGCAACCCAAATTTCTCAGTCCAGACCCATATGAGATATTTAACTTTTTTTTTTTGTTTGAAAAAGCATGTCAAGATGAAGGGCACGACAGAGTCCTTTCTTTAAATTAGGCTTTCTTTTTATTATACATATAGACATTTGTATAAATCAGAGACCATTTTTAAAGAGTTTTTTTTTGAGTTATTGAACTTGCGATCCCTTTTTGTGCTTAAAATTAAGTATTTAAAAAAACCGTTTCGACCAAGAAAGAGAACCAGAACGTTTTATCAAAATGATACACCAACACTCTTCGATAAACTACTTGATTTTTGTAATAAGTAACTAATAACAATTAATATTTGTACGCCATTCTTTTCTTCGCGGTTCAGGACCTAATCGGTCAAATCCGCAAATATAGCTTTTCTTCATTTCATTTCATTTCAAAAAAAAACCGCTTAGCCATGCTGCGTATCCTGACATACTCTTTAAAACAAAAACAAAAAAGAATTAAATATATAGAATGAGTTTGGACAAAGAAATTTGGAATGTCCATTCAACTGCTTTTGACCCTTGTTTGCCGAATATCTCCGTCAAACATCATGGTATCGGACTGAAAATTTTACTATAGCTTCTTCACTACAGTCCCAACCTATCCTAAAAACTTTATGCAATACGAACAGACCTGGACTGAGATAGGTCTTTTTTTGGTGGAGAAGAGGGCAGGAGCTGAATATAAATATATGAAAGAAAAATCTAGAGTTTCAAGTTGTATCTTGAACATTTTCAAATTATACATACGCAATAAACATATTATTTGAAATATTATCTAAATGTCCACGATATTTCAACCATGGTCCAGCAGCACTAATATGATCTGTTGTACATTTTCCTTTTATTTTTATTAGTATCGGTAAATCAATAAAATCTTTTCCATCCCATGGCTCAAATGGTTCAAGTAATTGAAGTCGATTACTTTTTGGATCAACATCAACTTTAAGTGAGCTAATATCTTTTGGTGGTTCTTGATAAGTATCAACACCAGGATCAAAACCTTTTGATGGTAAATTATCACCAGTTGGTGGTTGTAGTTTAAATTTGCTACCATCAGCAGCTGTTAAAGAATCAGTTAAAGGATTAAAACGAAGATCACCACTTAAAACCATTGCTGTAACAAGATCTGGTGATGTAACAAATGCATGTGTTCCAGGATTAGCATCATTACGTCCAACAAAATTACGATTATAAGATGAAATAATAGTATTTTTTTCACCCATTTTTGTATCTTTACGATCCCATTGACCAATACATGGTCCACAAGCATTTGCTAAAACTATTCCACCCATACGACGAAGTTTTTCAGCCTTCAAAATAAATGAACTTTGATATTAATAAAAAGAATTATAAATAAAATATTTTTTTCTTACAATTCCATCACGTTCAATTGTTGCTCGTACTTGTTCTGAACCTGGTGTAACTGTAAATGTTGATTTAGCTTTAATACCTTTATCTATTGCTTGTTGTGCAATACTAGCTGCTCGTGTCATATCTTCATATGAACTATTTGTACAACTACCAATAAGACCTATGGATAAGAAAAATGAGAGCAATATTATATTAATAAGTTCTTTGAATATATTTACCAACTCTAATATCAAGCGGCCAGTTATTTTTTTCAGCTTCTTTAGCTAATCTATGTATTGGATGTGCAAGATCAGGTGTAAATGGACCATTTACATGTGGTTCAAGCTAAAAACATGTATGTGAGATTGTAATAAAGTCAAATATTATTTGTTCGTAAAAATGTTTGTTTACTTCAGATAAACTAATATCAATAATTCGATCATATCTTGCGTCATCATCAGCTGTTAAAAGTTCATTTTTATATTGATTAGCAAGATTAGCGATATCTATTTCATAACAATAAACAAATATCAATCAAAATTTCATTTTTAAACATCACATTCTACCTTCACGTTTTGTTGCTTTAAGATATTCAATCATACGTTCATTATAAGGAAATACTGATGTTGTAGCACCTATTTCTGCACCCATATTACAAATTGTACCCATTCCTACATGAGAAATATGAAAATTAATTTTATTTGACACAAATAAAAAATTTTAGACTTTTACCAGTACATGAAATCGAATTAACACCAGGTCCAAAATATTCAATAATTGCACCAGTACCACCTTTGACTGTTAGAATACCAGCTAATTTAAGAATAACATCTTTTGGTGCTGTCCATCCACTTAATTCACCTGTTAATCGAACACCAATAATCTAACAATAATTTAACAAAAATATTTCTTTTCATTATTTTCATAAACTTTTTTTCCATATTACTTTTGGACATTTAATTTCCCATGGCATATTAGCCATAACATCGACAGCATCAGCACCACCGACACCAATACAAAGTCCACCTAGACCACCACCGTTTGGTGTATGACTATCAGTACCAATTAATAGTAAACCTGGATAAGCATAGTTTTCTAGAATAATCTTCGGAGAAAATAAAAATCATGCTTTGCTTTAGAAAACAATTGTTTTTTTATTTTCATACTTGATGAATAATGCCACTTCCTGGTTTCCAAAAACCTATATCATACTTTGCACTTGCTGTTGCCAAAAAATTATATACTTCTTTGTGAAGATCCTATATGATGTTAAAGCTCAAGTAGAGATGTAGTATATATTATTAGATATAATTTATTTTGTTTTTTGTTTTGTTAAATAGTCGATTAAGCTTAACCGTGAGCAATATGGACTATGAGTAAAGACGTGCAGATGAACTCTAATATCGGAACTGAGACCAGGACTTCAGGAAAAAGTTATTCCATTCTGAACTGAAGATTATGGTTAAATATTATTTTAGACTTTATTTTCTCTTAAAATATCAACAACAGTCTTTCTATATCAGTATTGTTATTAATGAAGAACTCTTATATGAATATCAAGACGTGTCGTTTCATTTTTTTTTGTTTATTGACTTACTATAAGTTTTCGTTCAATCCTATGACAACTTTGATCAAGTCATTGTAATTTTACTATATTCTTCTCTCATTTGTTTGAAAAACAATACACACATAAAAACTCGAACCTATTAGAATGCATTTTTGCTTTTTCATGTTTGTATTTTTACTTGAAATAATTTATTTACCTTTGCTCGTTTTAAATCTTCATCTCCGCCAATTTGTGCTTCAATCAAATGATCACAATGAATGGTAGTTGGACATAAAACATTCGGTAAACCAGATGATATAAATTGAAGTACAGCCATTTGTGCTGTAGCATCTTGCATAGCCACACGATCAGGACGTAATCGTAAGTATGATTTACCACGTTCAATTTTCTAGAAAAAATAGAATAATATAATGTTGAAATTTTTGTTTGATTTTTTTTTATTTACCTGATTTTGTGGATCATCAATATGAGAATAAAGAATTTTTTCAGAAAGTGTTAATGGATGATTAAGTCTAAATAAATAATCAAATGTTTTCTTTTCAAACTCAATGCTTTCAGTTGATTTACTCTTGCTGAAATACCGGTAAGTCTTGTAGAAAGTACAAGATCTTTTGTGAATTCCGAAAGAGTCACAGAATAAATTTTCCAAGTGCAAAAATTCAGAGAAATTCATTAGTGAAACTCTGATTTTTCAGAAATACAAATAAAGATATTTAAACAAAGCCTTGACAGTCTCCAATATATCTGTAACAGTTCGAGATCGAAGGACTGAACTGGCATGACTTACTCAGTTATTTCTAAAAATAAGTGGAACCGGTCAGCAGTTCTTTTCAAGAGAACTGAACTGTTCAAATAAATCAATTTGACACTTTTGACAACTTCAACTTCTATGAACACCCAGACTCACACTCTAGATATAGATATAGTTCATATGAAAAGAACTGATCACTTGACATAGTTCTCGAAAAAGAATCATTTTTCATAGAACTGTCTGCTGTCGCAAATCTAATCTCCATTTACTTTCTGTGTAGTTATCAAGGCGTGTATAACTTATGTACGTATTTTTAGTTTAGCATAAACTTCAAGTAAGTACAAATGTATAAACGTAAAGTACATTTTGTTATTTATGAAGAAGGGGAAAAAGAGAAAGCCATCACTTCTATCTCACGTGAAAGCCACGTGCGAATACGATGATGAATAGCGTCGAAACATGAGCATTTACTCTATTCTTTATTCTTGTTAGGGGTTCTCGCAAACCTCTAGCGCATAATCAGAAAACCTTTGTTATAATGTCTCAGGTAGTTTTAAAACGGACTCTCTAAGGATGGTTTTGTTCGATAAAGAATTGACTATAGATAGAAATGAATTTACCGTTTTTTGATAATATTCAAAACAGATGCGTTTTTTTCATAATTAATATATTTATTTGGTTCGAACCGAGAGAGCGGAACCTAAAATATATTGCAATAGGGGGAAAAAACGTTTCTTTTTTCTTTTATTACATTAAGTGTCCTCAATGACTTTTCATTTGTTGATGCATAAATAGTACGAGTTAAGCAAAGACGTCGAAGTGGTAAGATTGTTAATGTAGCATTAGCAAACTAGAAATAAAATGATTTCATAAAAAACTAATGGTTTTATTTTTCTTCTTACTTTTTCCACGCTCGAAATCAGTGAAATACCTCCTTTGGTTAACATTGAAAACGAAATATGAAATACGTCATATAATACGAAAAATAATCGTTAATAGAACTTAATCCGGTAAAGAGAACAAGAATGATCATAATATACAGGTAAGTATAACAAGAGAGGTCACTACCATCTTGAACACTGATTTTTATATGAAAAAATTTTTTCTAATAAAAATAAAATTTTCATTCAAGATTGAAGAAAAATATATATAAAATAGAATCATTTTTACGTAATATCAATGATATGTAATTGGGAAAATTTCTTCGACCAATCATATATATTTTATCAAATAAAATTAATTCTTTTCTAGAGATTGAGATGAACAGATGATGATTCCATTATATAATCTATGGTAATAGAAATTATTTTATACTTCATATTTCTAATTGTATTTTAATCATATAGAATACAAATTCAAATCAATCGGATTCTGTTGAAGTATCATCTTCAACATCATCGGTATCCGCTAGTTCATTTCTACCATTACCACATTCAACAAATGCAATTCAATCAATAAACAATAATAATCAGACAACAACTAAACCAATTCGACGTTTTTCATGTGCTGTTTGTAATATTGATTTATCTAATCAAAAACATTTTAATTCACATTTGAACAGTCGACAACATCAACAAGTATGATTTTTAAGAGACTTTCAATAATTGAATGACTATATTGACATGCATAAAAGTGCTGACAATATGGAAGTACCATTCCTATATCAATTAGTGTGAGATTTAAGGAACAATATCACACAATTGATAAGAGAAAAACATGACAAAGTATTTTCACTGAAAATTTAAATCATGTGAGAAATATATCCATACCGTTGTGATTGATGGAGATTTGTCGGTTAATCGAACGAACCAGTGACCAACTACCAATTGCTTGGTTGATCGTTAGGTTAATTAATGATTTTCGATTATTTCATATGGTATTGAGGTACCAACATCGGTTAATATATCATGTAAAGCTGTCCGTAGCTTTCCGAGCTTAATGTTTTACGTGTTAAAGTATAAATAATTGTTCTTTTACAGTTGAACGATCTTTAGGAAATATTCAAAATATGTTATTTATATGGGAAATATTAGTTTTAATAGAGTTTCATCAAAGCTGTGATATCACTTCATGAAGAATTTGATATTTTCTCAAAATTTTTACTTATCGACCAATCATTTATGTTGTCCTCTTTCAGTTCACATATAGTGACCTGAAAAAATGATTCGACCAGATTTATTTTTAATGCTTTTTCAGCTGTCGTAAGTAATAAGTAAAATTTAAAGTATGGTATGAGTAAAGAACTTTATTTTTACTGAGAATTTCTCATAATAAAAAAAGTTAGCAGTTTTTCAAGGATATTTGAAAAATACAAAATCAAGTTTTTCAACTCCAGAAGTTTATAATTATTATTGTGTTTGAATCATCTCAGATGATAGAGCAAATCATTGTCTACTAAACTGAAATGACTTTCAGTTCTCTAGGATATTTTTTGACCATGACATATCAATCTTACAGCTGGCAAAAAATAATGTTCCTATACGGAATAACAAATTTTGTGTCTTTCGTAAGCTTGATGAATCTAACGATGGAATCTATCGAACTGATAATCTCCATTTGAGCACATATTTTGTACATAGCTAGGACTCATAATGTAGATAAAAATCCTGAAATTCTTCGTACCATTAGGCTTCTCTTCTTAAGTTACGGTCATTTTGTTGAATTTTTAACCTATTACGTAGGATATCACGATAAAGCACGAAACAAGAAGTTTCAATCTAAAATTGTCTTCGACAATAACTGTCATGGTCCTTATAGCATCCTGAAAGTTCCTGCTGAAACAGACGATTTCTTCTTGGATTATCGGATGCCTAACAACTGAATTATTTTTGAAGCTCTTTTATGAAAAAAAATGTTTTTTTTTTTTACAAACGTGTTATCTCAGAAGGAAAATATCCGTTTGAGTTTAAACTTTTAGAATATTATAAGGATCAGGAGAGCTATTATCGAGAAGGATTTCAGATACAAGTTTCTTGTTGTTGAAATTTTTCTCGTGTATATCTTTACTAGGCTGAAAATTCAGTAAAATGAACATAGCTTGAGAAGAAAGGTCTGATGGCGCGAACCATTTCAAGATTTTCATCTACACTATAAATCTAATCTATTAGCAAAATATGAGCTCAAACGAAGTTTATCAGTTAGATGGGTTCTCTCGTTAATGGAAAAGGTTGTAGACCGTTGGAAGGCGTTTCCTTTTGCTGATAATTATTTGCTTTATTATTCTGGGCAACTCAAACAAAAATATGATTGCAAACTCTATGAGGTAAAAAAGCTGAGTCTTGGTTTTTCAGAAACCCTATCCTTGGGAAACTAGAAATCATTTTTAGCGTCAAATATTCTCGTTCGAAATAAAACTCTTGACTTTAATTATTATTTGATTTGTTCTTTGCATTTTTATGGCAGTGATAAAACATTCAAGATTAACTTGATCGAATAATTGTCGGGAATGCTATTGATTTCATTTTTGAAAAATAATAATTTGATTGCATCATATCTCGATTACTAACAAACTTTCACAAACAGGTTTGATTCTGAATAACTTACGTTTTATTCGAACGATACTTTTTCAAAACAAAAGATTTTCGTAAAATTAGGCGAAACACTATTCAAATTCCGCAAGCTATGATAGCTTCCCTCGGATGAGAATCAAATAATCGATATCAACTTAGTCAATTAATATAATATTGATTTCTATATTTCATTAGATTTTACAAATCCATTAATCGTTGAGCATGATATTGAAAAATTTTTTTTTTTACAGGCACAAAGCATTCATGATGTATTACAATCAGGTAAATATTTCTTTTTTTTGTTGTATGTTTACTTTAATTCGAGAATTTCTCTATATAAAACAAAAGTCGCACCAGAATATCGCCCTGCATATAAAGCGATGTTTTCACCAGAGATGCTTAATAAAAAAGTATTTAATCGTCAGTTACGTTGCGAAGAACAAGTCAATCAAACAAAACAACCTTTATTAGGTAGATATCTCACTTTTTTGTTAATTAAATTAAGAAAAAAAAGAACAACTTTCTTTTAATTAGGTTTAAATTATATTATTGAATTTCAATTTGAAAATTTAACTGATCCAGCTCAATATATATGTGAATTATGTCATACAAAATGTTCATCACAATCTATTCTTTGTCATATATTGAATATTCAACATCAACGAAAATTTTTAGTAAACAAACAAGACAATTTCATTTCGAAATAATATGTTTTCGTTTGTTTTTTTTTTTTTGTTACTTAATTAGAAAATTCATCATCCAGATATGTATGAACGTGTATTATCCGCATCAAATATTCGTTCTGAACAACAACGTTTAATTGAAAATTTTGCTAAACAAATACAATCAAGACATGGTGGCCCAGGACAAATTCAACTACATATTCAACTTGATTCGTTTATTGGACAAAAACCAATTGTACTTGCTGTTATATTTAAATCTCAATCAGGACAAAATATAAAAGGAAATAAAAAAGCATCAATACAATTATCATCAAAAACTTTTGAAGAATATGATTATGCATATGAAGATGAACCCGATAAAGGTAAATTCATTCATTTTTTTTTAAAGAAAATATATTAAGAATCAGAATTTTTCTTTCAAGGAATTGAAGAATTCACATCTGAGTAAGTTTAGATTATATTTATTTATTAATAGAAATATTTGACGATGTTATTTTTCTTTATTATTGTAAAGACAAACAATAAATAATCATGATGGTTAGTTGAATAAATAAAGTTTTTCTTGTCTTTTGTTTATTAAGTAATTCTTTTTAAAGATTCAATTCAACGAGGTTTATCTCAAGAAGATTTACTTTATCCATTTGATCGTCAGTTTTGGTATCAAAATTATAAAGATCTTCTTGGATCTCGACCGATTGATCCACATTCAGTAACTTATCAAGAAATAATGTATGGGCTTATTTGATTTGTTTTGTATTTCATATTTGTTTTTTTTTTATGTTCTTAGACCTGAATCAAATACTACGCAACCATTTCAAGGCATATCGGTATGTTCTATTTCTAACGAGGGAAGAGTTTCAATTAATGAATTGTTTGCGAGTCGAAACTATGTGCACTATGTAAATGCAAATGAAGTATGAATATCATGAAAAGAATTAGTACATTTAACTTGTGTCTACAAAGATGCTGCATTTTTACGGTATTTTTTTAAATAGACTTAAAACTGATCATAGACACAAACTTTAACATGTGCAGTTGCAAGTATTTTTGATTTGTTTCTATCCTGAAATAAGAATATTTAATCAATCGATTTATATGAGCAATGTAAAAGATACGCTATTACTAGACTAGGAACAACGGACAAGATCTGAAATATATATGTAGAAAATTATCCTCATTAACACGTGTCTCTATGCAAAGTTTCAAGTCGAAATTCGAAAATCAGTTTCGTTGAAATACAGCATTCATTTAAAAAATATCGTAAAAATGCAGTAACTTAACAGCAGTCAACTAAAGGCACTAACTTTTTTCAAGGTATTCATAGCTCATTTGCATATGCACAATGCACATAGTCTTAATTCAAAAGCAATTTATCAATTAGAGGGCCTCTTTCATCAGAAGGAACACTTGCATTTGTTAGATGTCATTTAAAAATATAAGATTTCTATGAAACTGAGAAAAATTCAAAAGAGAAATCGATTGATTATGTTAATAAGTTGAAATGTAAATGATTTAACTAAAAACTTTTATTTTATCACAAAGATTTGATGAATATGAATTATTAATTGAGTTAATGTTACCACAGTAGAACGTTTGTTTCTTGTGGTCATTTTGTGCAATAATAAATCAAATAAAAAGATAGCCAGAATTGATTTCTTAACAGAACCATGATCATATCTCAGTTCTGAAAGACTATCGAAATTAAAAATATTCATAGTTTTCTTATTTCTATGAGCACTAATATAACCAGTTTATGAGATACAGTATGTCAGAAGTAATTGTACAGCATTTTGGGACTTGCACAGTTTTTTGTACATCTTAGCGAAAAACATGTTGAATAACGGTTCATCACGCGTGTAGTATCGAAGAGAATAATAGTCTGCATTTTTTGGTATTCAAATAAGAATTTTTCAATTAGGCTTTATTTCGAAAAAAGACCTGCATTCTTTAAATAAATCTCTCAAAATTACTATGAAGAATATTTGCAAAGAATTTGTTAATCTATAGTAAAATATATTCCATAGTTTTGTAAAGCACAAGTAATTATTCGTTGCAGTGAAAATGAATATTTCGATTGTTACGCAATGGTAATATATTTTTTTTGTCAAAGTAAAGTTCTTAGTTTTGTAAAACTTGAAATTCTCTGTCTTTTGGTATATGAATTTCTAGAAGAAGAAAATAACATTTACATTTACTTCAATTTAATATAGCTTATTCATTAGTTTATCATTAACTAAATTTATCAAACTTACTTTTATTTTATCAATTATTTGATTATATTAATTCTCTAATCTTGTTTTATGTTTTTATTTTTTATTTTTTTTTTCAGCAAACTATACATTCCTCTCCATTATCTATCATTGCCAATGAAAACCATTTAACTCTAGAAAATGGTCAAACAATTCGTCGAAATTCTAGTCAACCATCAAATCGTCGTGTAATACTTGATACCAATCGAACACCAATATTAACAAATAATGGTATATTAAGAATATCTCCAACAAAAAATAAACCAAATTTTGATGGTTATACATTATTAAATGTACAACAAAAGAAAACGAATGGTACAAATGCTGTATTGAATGAACAATCAGCACGTGCTATATTAGCAGCAAGTGGTCTTTTGCAATCGGATGAAGAAGATGAACAAGATATGACAATATCACATCAATCATCAACTAATAATAATGAAGAATCAAAGAACAAATCTGATCAAACTGTTTCACCACTAATTGCTAAACGAATGCTTGATGCTGTACTAAATGGAGATCTAGATGTTGTAAATATTCAACCATATTTTTCAACATTTGTTAATTTAATACAATCAGGACAAGTCGAACTAGAACGTCATCAAGCTGAAAGATTATTACATAAAGTTTTAGTCACTTCATCATCATTATCGCCACCAATTATCAAGAATGAACCAGTACCAAATAGTAATAAACGAACACGATCAACTAGTCATTCAAGAGGTAAAACAAGTATATAGATAAATATATATGTAAGTGTGTATATACGTTGATTATAATCTTAGAACGTCATTCTTCATCAACAAACCGACATCAACATTATGAAGAATACAATTCATCAACAGAACCTAATTCAAAGAAATATTCGTCCACGTCATCGTCATCATCGACAACGAGACGTGTTCATTTGACAAATGAAAATAAAACAATGAATGGAAAACGATCTATTAATTAGATGTATTTCAAGTATCATTAAATATGTACAAATGTATATGAAGAAGGTTTTCGACTGTATTTCTTTTCTTTTAAAACAGATATATATGTATATATACTATCTGTTCTTCAATCTCTCTTAAGTTTTGTTGCCGAATGCTTTCTTGTGTTATTTAACAAAGCATCATCCGATGGCTTTGATACTATACGATGAAAGTGTTTCTTTGTTGCTTTCTACTTGTTTTTTTTTTGACTTTTACAATTTACAGATACAAAGATTCGGAACTTTCTTTTCTTCCTATATAAGCATCTCATACTTACTAATCATGGTGGTGTTTCCATTACAGATAAAAATGAACGAAAGGAACTAGGGATACTTGTTACACATTTTTGTTCTTTTCTCTTTTTTTTTGTTATTATTTATTTTTTTTCCTTTTTGTATGTTGTAGATATCCAGTAGTACAATCGAAATACTTTTATTCTTTTGCGTTTCTTGCATGATGATAAAAAAACATGAGAATTTAATCCATTTGCACCAGATCCGTTATCCGCAATTGTATTGTGTGATAATGTCTCATATTAGTCATCAGTTTTTGGAAAAAAAAGTTTTTTCACGTTTTGTTTTGATTATTTATGTTACTCTATTTAGAAGTTATGTCAAATTTCAGTATTAATGAAATTAACACACTCTTTTGTTGCAGAAAAAAAAAGTTGTCATACTACATTTGAGTAGTATTAAAAATTTTTAAATAAAAAGGATAGAGTACACATAAATTATATCGTCGCTTTTCTAAGAATGCCTAGGACTAATGAGTGTAAATTTTTTAAGATACAATTATTTATGCATTATATCTCAGCTGCAATGAGCCGTGTGGCATCTCATCCGTTCTCGTCTTTACCTCCGGCAACATATTCCGTGTTATCTCCTTCACTCTCACCATTCTCTGTTTGACCTTTACAGAAAAAAGGGCGGAGTAAAGATTAACCCTTTGACGTCGGGTGAGACATATATATCCCACTTTTTTGTTTTCGATTGCAAAACTATAATAAACTATGATCAATGACTCTGGAAGAAAGAATGATGATACTGCATAGACGGAATTAATTAGTGGATATTGTAGTTCCAGTAATATTGTTTATTTGTTTCTTCAACTGGAAGTTTTGAAGAAGGTTATCATTAATTCTCATTTCCAAAAGAAACTTGGCCATCCAAAATTCAGCCGTGACAGGGTTAATTTGGTCTATATTTTTTCTCAACAAAGCTACTTCCATAACTCCTAGATTTTCTTTAAAAAAAATGCGAATTATAATTTCATACATATATTTGCTTCTGGATGCTATTACCATAGAATTCTTTCATCTTTTGTTTATTTCAAATAATGTTTGAATCGATTAATGTAATAACAATATAAATGATATAGTTAATGTTGTTCAATTTTTCCACTAAAGCAAATGGAATAAAATCATAAGAAATAAAGAAAAATAATAAAGATTAATATAAATGAAATTCTGATAATATAGCATAGTCTTCCTTAAATATCAAATAAAAACCAACATTTACAACAATTATATCAAAGAAAGAAACCACTTAAGATGATAAACATTCTGCTTATTCTTTTATTCTTTTATGTAATATATAAATTATTTTTTAATTGAAAAGAAATTTCTAAATAGATCTAATAAATATGTTCCATATACAACTAATTTCCAACAGCTATAGTTATTTTCCGTATCGTTTGACTTGTATCATAAAAAGAAATGACAAAAATTTTCTTCATTATCGTTGACAAATAGCCTGCATTTTGTACTTTGGTCTCTATAGAAATCAGTAATTTCATTTTCTAACACTATACAGCACATGAGAGTATGTTAAATGCTTATTATTTTATACAAATTATAGAATATAGTAGATGTAAGAACTGATTTTTCAAAATATTCGTACAACCATTTCTTCAGGTCGTATCAACAACTTTCATAAAGTAACATCATTGATTGAGTTCTGTTGTCATAGTTTTTGTTTTCAATAGTCAAAATATCCAAAAAAAAAAGGATAAATTTTAATCAACATGCAGTTTTACCAAGTTACAGACCTGATAAATTAGATTTCCTTATCATTGAATCAAAATCATCGTGAATCAATTAGTGTAAAAAGACTAATCAGATGACTTAACAGAATATTTTACTTAAAATTTTAAATAATGATCAAATCCATTTTCAATTTGTCATAAATTGGCCTAAACAGTAAGAGCTTAAAATTCATGAAAAGTTTTTTGTTTTCGATATATTAATATTGGTAGCATCTTCATCCGAATAAGAGATTATTAGAAAAAAAAAGTCATGATTGAGTGGCATATTATTTTTAAGTGCAACTTTGAAATTGAAAGTTTTTTGAATAGATTTTGAAAATTCATCTCTAATTTTATAATAGAAATTATATTTTCTATTTTATACAGAAAAAAAAATTTTAGACAAGTTGTTTTATATCATATAATTGGTTATGATTTGTATTAATACGTATCCATGAAATCTATACTCAAGTAGAAATTACCTATTGAAAAAGTATTGTTAAAAATGTTGAATGTTACGAGTAAAGATTAAGCTAAATGTCTTTTAGTTCAAACTCTCAACTTGTACAAATAAAAAAGAAAGATTCTAAGGCTGGTGTGTGTGTTTTAAGTCATCAATATACAAAAAAGTTGTATTTAAGATTAACTCTGATCATTTGATACAAAGAATACTCATGTCAAACCGTATTGATCTATCTGAGTAAGAATTTGCTGACCTTGATTCTTGTAGAAGTAATTCGTATATTGATTAAGAAATGACATAACATTTGATGCTTGATACTGTAATTAAGATCTAGGATGCGAAAGTTTTTTATTGCATGACTCGATAATAACCATCATAGACTTGTTACTGATGTATTATATTGATTTATAACAGATTTAATGAACTTTTTCGATCAAAACAACCTAAATCTTAATATTATATTGTAAGAAGTTCATATTAACTATTATTTCAAAATTTGAATATATTTGCTTTGAGAATTTATTTTGATGACTTCTTATTCAACATGAGAATAGCATTTATGTTGATCACAAATCAAATTCATAAATGAATATTTTAATTTTCTTAGCAATAAAACTGAATCTAGAGTGATTAATTACTAGTGAAAACATTCAAAACAAAAGAAATTCGTTTGGTAATGATTGAGATGTCATGAAAGTAAATCTCATCTACTGTCAAGATGAACTTGTTAATAGGTCACCTTCCAGCCAAGTGTAACGTAATAATATAAAGACGAAATATCTTCAAACTTATCAAATCCATTCTCACGTTTTTTTCATCATCAATTCTCGCGTCTTCTAATTCTTGAAATATAGCACTAGTCACACAAGCATAGTCTAGAAAAGTCTGATTTATTTTGAAAAAAATGTTTCATTTGCAAAATTCAAATTCCTTGAATATTTTCGTATGATATCGTATCGATACATACCTAACTATCCTTCTCTATTCTTTTCTTTGAATTATACTGTGTCAGTTATGTCATTACACTTTACTAGATATATATATATGTGTATGTTTGAACAAGCGGAAGCTTTTGTCAAGTAATTTCCATTTTCACATTCCATAGAGAAATCGATTTATCTTACTTCGATTGAGATATTTCAATAATTGTAGCATCGACTCATTATTATGGAATTGATGTATGTCTTGAACATTTCTTTTATATGGTATGTCAATACAATTAATTTAGTTAATACATTTATTTCATATTGAAACAAAATAACTTAATTTAACCTTGTCAAAATAATACTGAATAATCCAGATCTTTAAATACTATCCATCTGATATGCAGCGCCATCTTTTGAATGAAACTCTAACTAAATCTTAAAATCGAAAGAACAGACCTATAGCTTCATCATAATTTACATAAATAATAAATTATTTATTTTTCATCATACTATTTTCTTTAATCTTCTAACAAACCAATAGCAATCAAACTTTCTTTTTCTTCCTTATTTTTTGTTTCAATAGGTTCTTTTTATTTATTTGTTATTCTGTCTTGACAGTTCCAAGAGTTTCGAATATATATATATATATTATTTATAAATCTATCAAAATCCAAATGGCATTTTTTCTTAAGTATGAAAAATATCTTTAATGTTAGTGTTCAAATATGAACATTCATATATTTAGATCGGCTATAAAACTAGCTATTATTGGTGGTGCTACAGTACTTGTTATTAATCATGAAGTATTGGGTACTAATAAATATACTCAACAAGTACTGAATGAAATTCGTTACATCATTACCAGATACAGTTGAAGCACTTGATAAAATTCCAACAAGACAATAAATAGAACGTGCTGTTACAGATATTTGAAATTTAGGTACATATATAATAATTTTTGATCAATATATATTTTGATTAAATATAGGCGTTCAAAAAAGTTTTAAATGGCTTATTGATATTCCATTACATACTCGTCGATTATTTTCTTCAATCAAAAGCTAAAAAAAAAATAATCAACAAGAAATATTTCATCTCGTTAGTGTATTTCTTAAAGGTCTCTATTTTAATATATTGAACAAAAGAAAGTTTTTATTGGATGCATCAATCAAAGACGTCTTGCATTTTGTTGATTAAAAAGAGAAATATTGTTATTGTATACGTTGGGGTCGTTTGTCGAACACACAACAGAACAACAACAACATATTGCTATTCTTTCTTTTTTTTTTTTCTTTTCCTTGCTGTCTTACTCCGTCCTATCAAAGCAACATCATGGCAACGTTCGAACGAGTTAAGATAAACAATATATATATATATTGGTTATTCCTTTTTTTTATATTTGTCTATTGACACAATTAAGTTTGGACCCCCTGCATTTTTTTTTCACTAAGAAAAAAAAATGAGAATGAACAAATAAGAAATATTGACCGAAAGAATGAAAAAAAAAAATCTAGTAGTGTTAAACTTATCATTGATCTGTCTTGTAGATTGCCGTTGAATGAGTTTTTTTTCTTAAAATCTAAAATGAGAGTGACAACAACAAATCGAACATCTAAACTTCAAACACCAACTAGAACTAAAACATCATCAACAACAATACTTAATGAACAAACAGGTCATCTACAAAATGGTACAACTATTGTTTCACCAACGTCATCCAATAATGTAATTTAATGATGAAAAAAAAAAAAAAAAATTTCTAATTTTGTTTTTCTTTTTTCATTTATTTTCTTTTTCAGGGTACACTGCGTTTAATCGATTCAGGTGATTATTTATCAACAGCAGTATCACCACCACCACCACAACAACAACAACCGGTAACAACATCAGCAATGCTTCAATTTTTACAACCATCATCTAATGCAATACAAAATATGCTTATTCAACAAATACTAACAAGTCCTGAACAGGTATTATAATTTATATGATGTAACAGGTCAACTTATAACTATATCCCTCTCTGTTTCTCTCTTTCTCGCTTTTTTTTTTCAAATGTCTATGGTCATTTGTGAAGCCTACAATAAGTGTCGTTTCGTATTGAGGTTATGAACAATATGGTTTGCTGTCTCATTTTTTTTCTCTTTCTCTTCATCTTTCTTTGACGTCTCATTCGTTATATGACAAACATCGCACAGGATGTTGCTTATAGTGTTCGCTTATGAGGACGGCAAAAAAAAAAAAACAACATATAGAGAATAAGAACGAGAAGGAAAGAAAATTAATAATAGAATAAAAAACGAACGAAGGAGAAAGAAAGAAACACACAAAAAAAAACAACAACAACAACAACAACCAACCAAACTATCTTTGTGTCTGTATTGTTTCACGCATGCTATAGCGTCTCTGACAACGATAATAAAACGAATATTTGTCGGAGAAAAAAAATACTCTTTAAGTATAATAGAATATTTCTATTTTTCATGATCTAGCAACGTCTTCTTGTTGAAAAAATCAATCAACAGTTAAGTGAACAAATTCAACTTAATCTTGTTCAACCAACAACAACAACGACAACATCAAATTCTGACGTTATTAAACAAATTCAAGTAAATCGAAATAAATTTTCTTTTCAATATTAATTATCTATTATTATTATTATTATTTTTGATAGAATCAAATAGCAAATCAACAGCTTCTTCTTCAACAAGTTTCTTCTAAACAACAACAACAGCAACAACAACAACAAATTCCTAGTTTATTTAGTATTACAAATTCAAATGGTTCTAATCAACCAACAACAGCTACTGTTCAATATTTAACAACAACAACACCAAACAATTCATCAACTAGTGGTAAGAACAGCTCGTCATTTTTCTTTGCCTCGAGATGAAAAAGCTCTTCTATCAATAAACAACATTTATTTATATATGTAAGTGTCTACAGAATCTCCGTCAGTGATTTCAATATCAACACGTCCTCATCATCAACCGACAACAATCAACATCACAGATCTGCTAACAGCAGGTCGAACCATTACCGGTTCGTCATTCTAAAAAAGAAACACATACATATATATATTATCATTATCTTTTCCCCCACGCCCGAATGATTTGTGCGTTTTTTTTTTGCGTCTATTAATCCATAATTTTTCATTGCTTCATTTGCACGATTGTTTGTTTAATGATTGAATATAAAATAGAATTTAAATTTTTTCCATACTATTGTTTTTTTATTTTTATTTTATAGGTTTAAATATAATCGGAACAAATAATACTATTCCAACTGAAGCTCGTATTATTATGCCAACAGCAACTACAACAACAATAAATCGTTCAACACAACAAGATTCATCAAATAATCCATTATATCAACGAAATTATTGTCGTTGGCCAAGTTGTGATACATTATGTTCATCTTTAATGGATTTTAATCGACATCTTAACGATGAACATTCACTTGATGATCGTTCTGTTGCTCAAGCACGTGTACAACAACATGTTGTACAACAATTAGAAGCATTATTAACACGTGAACGTGAAATACTTCAAGCAATGATGAAACATTTACATGGTGGTAGTCAACCAATAAATTCAAATGGTGCATCATCATCAAATCCAACAACAACAGCACATGTTATTACACATCAACCATCACGTACATTAACATCATATCATAATAATCGTTCAACACAATTATCATCACCAACATCTTCATCAACAATACCAACAACAACATTTCAACATTTACCTATTGTTAAATTAGAAAATGCTTATTTAACATCAACAGGTCTTGTTAAAAAAACAACACAAGATCTTTCATCAACAAATAATACAACTGCACAAACTATATTACGTGCTAGTGCATCAAGTTCACCACCACCTGTTCATACAGTTGAAGAAGAAGTTGGTGATGATACACAAGATGATGATGAAGATGATGATGATGATATGGTTGATACTAATGGTAGTACATCAACATTATCAAGAACTCATGGAAATAATCTATCGATTGTTTCAATGGGTTCGACTGGAAAACATCATCAAATGAGTAGAAAATCAAAAGGAATGTTGGCATTAGGTGGAAAAAAAGCTGGAAAAGGAAAAGGTTTGTTGAATGAATTTAATCTATCGAATGATAGAAATCTTTCTAATTGAGATACTTAGAAGAGCAAAATTTGTTATATTCTTTTATTGAGTTTGAAATATTTGAGAGTTCAAAAAAAAAGTAAATAAATATGATGCAGAGAATCATTAAACTTTCATTGTAAAAGTTTGAATGATTAAATATTCAAAAACTAATTAAATTTACTTTTAGAATTAAAAAATCGAGATTATTATATGACACATGATGTACGTCCACCATTTACATATGCAACATTAATTCGTCAAGTATATAATCTAGAAGAAAATATTTCTAATTATTAAAATATATATGTATATGTATATATTCTAGGCTATTATTGAATCTCCAGATAATCAATTAACACTAAATGAAGTTTATAAATGGTTCGAAGCACAATTTCTTTATTTTCGTAAAAATGCACAGACATGGAAAGTAAATATTTGAATCTTTTGTTTCTTGTTTCTTTTTTTTTTTTATATTGAATTTTCATTTTCAATAGAATGCTGTACGACATAATTTATCATTACATAAATGTTTTATGCGTGTTGAAAATATAAAAGGTGCAGTATGGACTGTAGATGAAAATGAATTTTGTAAAAGACGTTTAACACGAGGAGCAGAAAAAGGAAATAATCATAATGAATCATCATCATCTTATGGGTAAATATATATTTCTTATACATATATATATATAAAACTTGTTAATTGTTTTGTTTTATAAATTTAAGTCATAATACATCTACTGGTGATGATCAAGCACTTTACTCGTATCCATTTGGTATGGAAGATGATTATAAAGATTTTAAAGTAACAATAGAAAAATAAAAAGAATTATTTTTATATTTTTTAAATTGTTTGTGCTTTTTTTTTATTGATATTTCAGGGTCTTTTAAATTCTCATAATGTTGAAGATGACGATGATGACAATTCTACTAGTGTTAATGGAAATCATGGTCAACATAATGAACAATCAAGAGATATTAATCATAATCAATATGAACAAACTGATGATGATGATGGACAAAATGATATGAGGTAAATTGAAGAAAAAAAGAAAAAAATATGACATGTCTAATATAAATATTTTTAGTTTAACACATGGAGATGATGATCAAGTTGATGAATAAACAAAAAAAAAAAAGAAACAAAAGATTTATTTCCAACGGACATGATGTCAGATAATATTCTCTTTATTCAACGCACGCACATATATAACAGTAGATTTCTCTCTCTCTTTCTCTCTCCACTCGTTATTCTTTTCTTTGCGTTACTCTATATACAATGTATATAGTTCTTTTCTTTGTCCTCTTGTGGTTAATTAAACATTGACTTATTCAAATTCTTCTATTGGGCATATTGCTCGCCTATATCGGTTTTGGTTTTTTTTTCTGTGCCTGTTAACGCTGCACAATGCTTTTTTGTTGTCTGTAGTGTATGAATGTATTTATGGTTTTTCTTTCGTTTTTTTTTCTTCTGTCGTGTTTGATCACATTGTTTGTATATAAATTTCTTTTTTCCTTCCGTCTTCTTCATCAGTTTTATTATTGTTGTGTTGTGTTTGATTTTTTCCTTTTGTCTATGATGTATAAAAAAAAAGAAAAGAGACAAGATGGATAAAGAAAAAAGAAACGACAATGAAAAAAAAAAAGTAAGTAAGATTTTATTTGGAACGTATTGTTTTATTTATGGATACTTTAGAAAAGACGAAGAATTACGAATAGAATAAAAAATATAAAATACTAAAGTAGTTGAGATGTAAATAATGTGTACATATAAATAATCAATACTTAAGTATGTTTATTTGATTGACAAAACTCAGATTGAAGGACGCGACAAAAAATAACTTCATTGACTAAACTTTGAATGAGAATACTTTGAAAAGAATCTACTGCAGTTCTTACTAATTATGAGATCGAATAAAAGCACTAATAAATGAGAGAATAAACTCAACATTATATAGACGTCTATTTTCATTAAAGCTGATTTGCAACAGTATTGAAATATAATCTTCCAAAGGTTTTTATGTTATTGAAATTCTTATTTATTAGTATTATTATATGAAAAACCTGTTTATATGATGTATATGTATTACATTTATTACCACAAAAATAAAAGAATGATCGATCCGAATGTCAACAGATTAAATTCAAATTTGTATGCAGTATTTGATGTCGTTGTCTTCAAGGTCGTAGAAGCTGACGGATACATGGTAGTTGAAGTTGTAGAAGATGACCGATACATAGTAATTGATGTTGTGGGAGATGACCAATATATGGTACTAGTCTGTATCTCGGATGTACTTATGATGGTAGATTTCATAGTAGTTTCATCGAGCAGAATGTTTGGTTCCAAATGTTCACCATCACGTTTCAAAATTTCTTCCATCCAATCGTAATAATAAGATAGTCGAGTATATATACCTGGGGAATTAGCTAGTGCACATCCTTTTCCATGTGATACAATACCCACCTGTTCCCAATATAGTCCAGTCCATTGAAATATTGGTCCACCTGAATCGCCTATAGAAAATAATTACCTTATTTTGGTACTTAAACGAAATAGGCTTTCAAACCTACCTTGACAAGAATCTAAAATAAAAAAGAATGACTAAAAATCTTTGAAAAAGTCTAATAAAAAAAACCGAACCTTTTCCGCCGTCAAATAATCCAGCACAGAATTCTAATTCAGTATTATTAATAGAACTCGAACATATCGGGTTTTGATCATCAATGGCAAAGACTTGTGCTTGTTGAAGAATCTCTGGAACATACAGTGTTCCATGGAGAAGTACACCCCATCCAATTATAGCAAGACGAGTAGCATTTTTTGGATATTGAGTTTGTGATATTGGTGGATCAATACGATGAATACATGTTTTTGTCAAACTTGAATTTGTTTCAAAAACAAATGGATGTTCAATATGTAATAAAGCAATATCATGACGATAATCATTTGGAATACCTGTATAATTTGGATGCAAATAAATTCGATCTACATTACGTATGACTTTTAATGGATCTGATCGATTTGTCATGCCTGCTGCAATAGTAATACCCGTAGGATTTTCTATGGATATTCGACGAAAACAATGAGCAGCCGTAAGAATATATGAATTAGATAATATTGTTCCACCACATGAATGATCGTTAGTACCATTTAAACGAAGTGATACAATCATTGGCCAACTACCTTCAATGGCATTCTCACCACCAACAATACGAGAGGACGTTAGAACTACATCAGCCTTGCCACATCCACATGATGATGTTTTGTTACAAGCATATGAAATTGGTGTTGGAGGAGGTTTTGGCGTAGTTGTAGTTAATGAGATATTTATTACAGACTCCATCCAATCAAAATAATAAGCTAATCGTGTAAAAATAGCCAGTGAACCAATCTGATGACACCCTCTTCCATAACTTATAATACCTACCTATAATATAGAGGTGAAAACTGCAAGATCAAAATATAAAAGATCCTACCTGTTCCCAATAAGTACCTTTCCATTGAAAAATTGGACCACCGGAATCACCTAAAATTCATTTTGTATCAAATACATATGTTTGACATTTATACATACCATAACATGGATCTAGAAGAAATTATGAAAAAAAAACATATATATTTGTAAAAACAGCAATAACGACTTTCTTTATTACCTTTCCCATACATCCCAGCACAAAATTGTTTTTCTCCATCATGAATCCATTGTTGACAAATGTGATCATTGTTATCAATCACATATACACTAGCTTGTTGAAGTGTATTAGACATGTTATTGTAACCATATTGGGTTGAACCCCAGCCAACAATAACTAAATGGCTACCATTTGTTGGATAGTTTACTGTTTCATTTATTGAATTAATATGTGGAACACATGTTCGAGCAAGGCCTAAATTACCAGGAATGAATAATGGAGGAGAGATACGTAATAGAGCAATATCATTGCGATAAGTACTATCACTGCCATTCCAATTAGGATGTATATAAATATCATGTACATAACGAATCATAGCAAAATCTTCGATTTGATTATGCATACCAGCAGCAATAGACACTTCTAACTTTGATGCACCATCAACACAATGTGCTGATGTTAAAATATACGATTGAGTAAGAATTGATCCAGCACATGAATGCTCTTGGGAGTCGTTTACACGAATAGATACAACCATTGACCAACTATATGGAATTGCTTCTTCACCTCCAATTATTTTCGTAGGTGATAACTCAACATTGTTCCTTCCACAACCACATGATACCATCAATGCATTACATTTATAAGTTATGGAAACATTGGCAATTGAATCGCTCTTTGTTGCAATAGTCAAAGATGTAAAACTTTTCAGATTTAGAACAGAATCTATCCATTCATGATAGTATGCCAATCTGGTAACAATGTCTAGGCAACTTCCATTTATTCCTTCTCCAACAGAACTTCTTATACCAACCTAAGAAAAACAAATAATGTTAATTAAAATTTTTTTTCAATCTCTTAATAGATCAAGCATCATTAAAATAAATATAAATGTTTCTAGAAAATGTACAAATGAAATAAGTCCAATGAAATATTTCAGAATATGCTAGTAAATAAGATAAACCATTTAACAATTTCTACTTGGCAAACAATACATTTACTTTAGAGCATCATTCAAAATGATTAGTTTTACCTGCATCCAACGATTATCAATCCATTGTAAAATGGGCCCTCCAGATTTATCTAATAAGTTACAATCAATTATTCAGAAATACTATAAATTTTATCTTAGACATGATACGTACGGTTACATGAATCTATAGAAAACAGAAAATGATATAATATTAACGAAATTTATTCAAAACAAACCTTTATTATGATGATATAATCGAGTACAAAATTGTTGTTCGACATCATAAACCAATCCATAGCATATTGGATCATAGTTATCCACTAACGATACTTCATATTGTTGTAGACTAACAGATGCTGTAGAATCAAAATGCTGTGTAACACGATCCAATTCAATAGTCAATAGTCGTGTGCTATTTGATGGGTATTGTAGAATATCTTTTAGTAAGCTGAAATCTATTGATCGAAATATTTGAGTAATATATTTATCTACGGTAAAATCTAAGGGTGTTGATAAATGTAAAAGAGCAATATTGTGTTTTTGGCCATTATTATCAGTTTTCCAGTTTGGATGAATAATAATTTCATCAACATTTCGAATAATTTGACCTAATTCAGATCGATGATAAATACCAGCAGCAATTGTCACATCATCTAATGACATATTTTCGGAAAAGTTACCAACACAATCAGCTGCTGTAAGAATATATGAGTCAGTAAGAATCGTTCCACTACAACAATGTGTAATTGGATTATTCTTGCGTTGACAATCATATCTAAGGGATACTATTATGGACCAACTATATTGCATTGTATCGTCATCATTAATTTTGTCACATTCGTAGAATGTTGTATTACATAAAATAGTAACAAACAATAGTAATTGATTTATTTGTGATAATAAATACATTTTATATTTTGAACAAACACGTATGGCCCTCAAAACTCGATTAAACAACTTGTTAACATATATTAGAAAAAGGAGAAAATAAATTTTATCAATTCAGAATCTCGACATATTGTACTATGTCATTTTCTTTATCTCTGTTTTCTACAACAACAATGTTTTTTCTTTTCTCTCGAAAGTCCGAGTTTAGAAGATCAAAAGCACTTGTTATTCATCATTTGATTCTTTAGTAATACATCAACATTAAAAAAATCATCTTATCAGTAACGACTGATAGAATAATATCTTTTTTTTATGACCGAATGCGAGATTCGACAATGACATGGTAAATAGAACAAAATTGAAGGTTGCCTTCAGCAAATTTACATGTATATCGGATAAAAAATTGCAACACTTTTCTATTGAAATTCAAATAAAAACTTGCATACTTTAAGTGAAAGATTTTTTTGAATGTCACTATCTTAAACGTTTACTAATTCGTAGATTGAAATACAGACATCTATAATGAAAAATTTTTTGATATAGATCTTAAGATATATTCTATTGTTCGTCAATGAAAAAAAACAAGAGAAAGATCCATAATTTCATGTGGAAGCAGATAAATAACAATATTAATAATAACAATGAGAATTGTTTTTACAAATATTTAATAATTAGAAGAGAATATACTTCAAAGATGGGATCATTTCATCAAAAATACTTCGTATTGCTGTTATTGTTCAATAGAGAGTAAGCTGTCAGTGAAGAATTCATAACACTTTTCATGCATTTTATATATGATGATAGTCTCATATATAGCCCTGCATGACCAGTGGAACTAGATGTGTATTTATATGGTATAATTTCCACCTACTTCAATTGATTTAAGACTAGATTACATAGTGTTCTGTTTCGCTTAGTTGTTGCCAATGGTTATTCATATAGATGAGTACTGGTCCATCATGATCTTCTATATAAAAACTGACTCTGTTAACATCTCTGTTAACTCTTCTTTTCGTAGTATCACTCATGTACTTGTATATCACGATTATCGTTTCAAAATCCAGCATAGAATTGATAAGTATCATTAGCAATGAAATGTCATCCTGATTCATACTCAGCACTTCTCAAATTAACAGATATTTGTCGAAAAATATTCGACATTTTGTTTCCTGATCTTAGAGTATATCATTCGATGACTCCTAACTATACATTTGGCTCTGGATATTTATTCGACGGTAATTCTGTCAATGTCCGACTAGAGTGTTGGCCTGGATGTTGAGTGGTGATATGGATGCAATTGTGGGTAGTCTTTTGATGCACATGCCACATGCCACACTCATACCCACACCCACATCCTCGTTGCATTTGCCATTACGTCCTCCTGTTCGCTGCAAAAACTTTCGAAAGATCCTTAATGACTTCTAGACTCATGACGCCAGTATTTGTTAATTTGTTCTTTCGCTCATTAGAATTTAAAAAAGTGTTTTTTTTTTATTTATTGACTACTCCATATGCACCATAAAACTGAATCATCTTCGTCGTTTCACTTTTACATGCTTTCTTCATTATAACCGACAACCATTAAAGTTGTTAGATATATGTATCCTACGCCATAAATGAATAGAAATAAGATTATCTCATGAAGGTACCATTTGACCAAAATCCTTTTTGGACTTTACCATTGCCAGAGTAATACGTGCCGCTTCCGTGCCTTTTGTCATCCATGAATTGTCCCATCCGTTGTTCATAGATTGTATCAACTATCTTTTCTTTTACATCGACCATCATATTACATCAAAGAATACGTTTGTGAATACTCTTTCTCGTATCGACTACCATCGGGCCATATAAATACACCTTGACCTGTTCTGTGATCATCAACCCAATCACCTGTATACTTGTTCCCACTAGCAAAGTAGTGCGTGCCTTTTCCGTTATTCTTGTCATCTCTGAATTGTCCCATGATTTGTTCATAGATTGCATCAATCATTCCTTTTTATGCATCAACCATTACAATAGATTAGGACACAACGTATGGGAATACTCTTTCTCGTATCGATCGCCATTAGGCCATATAAAAATGCCTTGACCTTCTTTCTTATCAGCCACCCAATCACCGATATACTTCCTTCCATCAGCATGTTCATACATGCCTTTTCCGTTTTTCTGATCATTCACAAATTGTCCCATAAGTTATTCATGGATTGTATCAGCTGTTCCGCCTTACGTATCACCCGTCACAATACATCAAGAGAAGACATTTATGAATAGTTTTTCTTATATCGATCACCATTGGGCCATGTAAAAGTGCCTTGACCTGCTTTCTTATCAGCCACCCAATCACCGATATACTTCCTTCCATCAGCATGTTCATACGTGCCTTTTCCGTTCTTCTCATCATTCACAAATTGTCCCATGAGTTATTCATGGATTGTATCAGCTGTTCCTTCTTACGTATCGTCTGTCACAATACATTGGTGGAAGACAGTTAAGAATAGTTCTACTCGTATCGATCATCATTGGGCCATGTAAAAATGCCTTGACCTGTCTTCTTATCAGCCATCCAATCACCGACATACTTACTTTCATCAGCATAGTAATACGTTCCTTTTCCATGTTTTTTCTCGTTCTTCCATTCTCCTTAGTAGTTGTTCTCTAATGATGTAAAAGATTTAAGAAGCTTTCATCAACACCGAATACAGAGACTTGCCGATATATGATATTGGAACTGTAGTATCGTATTTGTTTCCATGCTCGTCAGTCCAAGTTTTAAATAATTCTTGTTCTTTGTTATCGGTCAGTTCGCGCAAATGTACCACGTTTAATGACCCATGATCTAGTATATCACTAACAACACGAAGTCGAGTGCCCAATTGAAGAATAACTTCATTTTCTTCTGGAAAGTTACTATATGGTGATATATCTTTTGCATTCCTCGCTTCGATCATGAACAGTGTTGATATAGATCCAAGAAATTTTTTAACGACAACTGAAGATGAACATGAACTAAAACGCCACCAAGTTAGCTCATCATTTTCCTTGTAGTTCTTACTGATGTCAACATTGATACCACGCCATAAATTTTTTTGAAGACTGGGTAATTTTTTCAATGCAGTGTCAATTAATTTGAGATAACCATGCCACGGTATTAATACCGACCGATCGTTTTCTTGTAGCACTTCGTTGAGTACTCGATAAAGACTTTGTTCACCCTAATCCATAGTATATAAGTAGATTGATGCTGATTCTTCACGAGTAAGACCATGTTCTGAAGGAAAGTGGCACTCAGTTTTTGCAATATCGATAAACGCATCTAGCAGCTGTATTTTAGAGATGATGGGATCGAGAGCTTGTCGAAGTGGAAGTAGTGGATGAGTGAGATATCCGTAGACAGGTGGAAACCGTGTTGGTTTATGATCGACGTTAGTGATTCGAAGCATTATTATCTAATGTGGAGAATTCTTTCGCTGATTGTGATGATGGTGTGTTGGCTTGTGATAAGTATACAACGTTAAGTTTGCGATACTTTTTACCTTGTAGAATATTTTTGCTTTCAGTTTGAGTTAATGTACACCTTTATATGTGAGACCAATGACGACAATTTTCTCTTTCTTTATTTCGTTTGTTTATGTTGAAAAGAGTTTGTCAGATAAGAAGATAAGAGTTATCGCTTTAACGAAAAAGACCATTTGTTGACATTGTTCGGTCCAGAAGTATGTCACGATAAAAGAAGAAGTAAAATAATATAAAAAGAAAAAATGAGACAAGAAGTTATTACCTGAATCTTCTACAGATTCATTCATAAAAATTTTCCTCTTTTGTGTAGGATTATACATATGAACTTATGTTCGTATCCTTTCTCTTATTGCTAGTCATGCACAATGGATTTTTCCTTCTCTTCCATATATGCTGGAATTTTCTCTTTCGTTCTATTCTTCTTTCTTTCCTGTTGTTCTATGAATGTTTCCTTCCATTATGCATCATTTTTGGGATTTTTCATTAGGAATCTTTTAACGTTTATTATCACTCTATGTATAGAGTTATGCTATTGCTTAGCAAATGATTGGATTTAGATACACTTATACAAATAAAGTATAAGTGCAATTAAGACCTCACACAATAGTAACGTAGACACTTAATATGTGTGAAGTTTAAGATTAATCGGAAGCAGATAACATCCGAGTTGTCACTATAGTTGTGATTCAACTAATTAAAAAACACTTCATAGAAAAACTAAAGGTTTTGAGGTATTGAAATACATAGTAGACAGATTTCAAATTTGACCTTACAAATGATTAAACCTTTGTATATTGTAGGATGATTCAAAATATTATGGCTTTTAAGACCTATTTCTAGCTTGTTGGGATGGACCAACCTGAGCGCATCCTCAGCAACATGCATAAAAAGTGCCAAAATTTGATCACTCATTTTCTTTTGTAAATTTTTTCCCTGAAATTGTGTCCTTGTTCGAATTGAATCATATGCCATTTGAAATCGCTTAATTTTCTCGACAAAATATTATATATGACATTTTTCGTCAATCTTTAAATAAAGTAGAAAAAGTTTAAATAGTGTTTCGGTCAGCACATGATTTCTTTTCCTGTTTTTGTAATATATTAACTAAACATGTGAGTCATTAATCAAGGGTTTGAAAGCTTTTCATGTCATATTTTAGCCCATTCAGTTGTGTGTCGAATAATACAGTAGACAGTGTTTCAAAATGTTCAACAGCCAAGATAGCTGAACTCGAATATTGGGCGCTCACACCATGTTTCCACTTTTCTAGTATTGGATCACATGAAATTGGTGCATTTTTCCTTTGCACTATCCTATCTATCCAATCAAATCACATACCAATCAATACAGCTCAGTATGCTTTACAGAATCGTTTGTGTGACATGTTGCTTTACCTTCGGTATAAAATCAAAAGGTTCACATATCATACTATCTGGTAGTATATACAGTTTCATTTTTTCACTACTTCAATAAGCGTTCATGTCGAAAGATGATTGTTAGTACTATACTAACTTCACGTTGTAGACTGTTCATATTTAATTACTGTAGATCAAGGTGAGTATTATAGTTTCTTAGATTTTGGATTTTTTTTCGCATTTAAATTCAATCAAAAGAAGAATATGACATTTTAGTTACTGCCGGCAATTATTATTAAACCAGCATTATAACAATATCTACGACAGATAAACGTCGCTCAAGTTGTAACCCTCGAAAAATGTTAGGATTTAGAATTAGTATTCTATCAATTGATTAGATTCATTTAACATCTTTGTAACAAGAAAATTTTCTTGTATTGTCAGATAAATCTTCAGCAGATAACTTCTTTTGTCTACATAGTAATATACACGACACATACCATAGAAAGCAACAAATATCACTTTATTCTTCGCTTCGTTGGTTCAATTACAAAATTAGTACACGAGATGAGTTTTAAAATTCAGTAAAATGTAATTGTTCCGGAGGGTTGTATTATGTAATAACTTTTATGAAAAATTAGAAGTTCCGATTGAATCAACTTCATTATTTTTGAGAAACCTATTTTGACATGCACGGAGAAAACCAATTATAATAACTTTCATTTTATTGTTGTTTTTATTTATTGCTTAGATAAATATCATCGTAAAATTTCATTCATAGCATTCCTTGAAATTTGTTCGATGAATGTGTGTACATTTTTCTAATTATCTATGATTACCTTTTTTTTTTATACTTTTTTCTCTACACAGGACCATATATTCGTCAAAAGATGCAAATAGCAATAATTTTGTCTTGATTTTTCTTGAATTAGTTCTTCACTGAAGTGCTTAGTTATTTAGAATAAAATACCAACAAACACTTTTTCAGGGACAGCGAAGTGCTTAAATATAATTTGTTTCAGAGTCCTGTAAGAATTCTAGATATCAATATTTGTTTATAATGTTTTTTTCTTCATTTTGATTAACGCCTATGTAAAATAAATAATGTTGTTATTTCATGTTGCATAGCATAAAACTTCTTAATTCAAACGAAATTTTCAACTGTTAGAGTATTTGGAAGTTTTGAAAAGAAATCTTGAAACGGAAGAAAAAGTTCTATGTAGCCAACAGCTGAAAATTTTTAAATTAGTTAAGATTTTAGTTTTCTATTAAATAATGAGAAGAATTTATAGTACAAAAATATCACTCGACTAGTGCCAACTACTGTCCCTTTGTTTTATTGGATATATTGTGTGCCATTAAACTCATTTTCTTTTTTTCTTTTTCTGTTTCGTTTAAAAACATGAGTCATTTGTATCTGTCTAAATTGGTATTCAACAATCAACCAGCCACCATGAAACATATACATTCCATTGTTTACTATTTGTCATAGAAGGACAAAATACAAACAATTTTAATATAGATTTTTCTATTGTTATTATTTTAGAAAAGTAATGAACGGAACTGGTTATTTACATCGTCCATCATCTGTTGGTATTCTTGCTTGTGAACTGTACATTCCATCACTTTATGTTGAACAATCGAGATTAGAAACGTATGATAATGTCTCAAGAGGTAAATATTCAATTGGTTTAGGACAACAACGTATGTCAATATGTTCGGATCATGAAGATATATGTTCATTATGTTTAACTGTTTTATCACGTTTACTTGATGAAACCGGTGTACATCCACAACAAATAGGTCGTTTAGATGTTGGAACAGAAACATTAATTGATAAAGCTAAATCAATAAAAACAGTTCTTATGCAATTATTTGTTGATCATAATAATACAGCTGTTGAAGGTGCAGATAATATAAATGCTTGTTATGGTGGTACTGCAGCTATATTTAATGCTATTCATTGGATTGAATCAAGTTTTTGGGATGGACGATATGTAAATGGAGAAAACTATAAATACGTGGGTGTACAAAATTGAATTTTCTTATTTTTTTAGGCTGTTGTCGTCATGGGTGATATAGCCATTTATTCAAAAGGAACTGCTCGTCCAACAGGTGGTGCTGGTGCTTGTGCTCTTCTCATCGGTCCTAATGCTCCTGTTGTTTTTGAATCTGGTATTTATATAATATCTTATATTTGATAATTTTCTTTACTAATGTAGGTTGTCGTGCAACACATATGGCACATGTTTACGATTTCTATAAACCAAATTTAAATTCTCTTTATCCAGTTGTCGATGGTCATTTAAGTGTTCAATGTTTTACATCAGCACTTGACACATGTTATACACAATATTGTACAAAATCGCAGATGAATCATGAAACACATACTCATACAAGTACATTAACATCACGTGAAGTTAATTTATCAACATTTGCCGCTGTTCTTTTTCATACACCATATGTTAAACTTGCACAAAAATCTTTAGCAAGATTATATTTAAATGATCTTATTCGTGCTTGTCCTTATATACCCAGTACTATGACAGAGAAATATAAGTAAGTTCTATTCAAATTAATTATTTTCAAAATAATAACTTGTTTTGTTTCGATTAGAAATCTTGATATTCGTACATTAATTAATGATAAAGACCTTGAACGTGAAATGATTGAACAAAGTAGAGAATTATTTGAACAAAAGACACTACCAGGACTTTATTTTTCACAAAATATGGGCAATATGTATACACCATCACTTTATTATAGTCTTTTTTCATTTCTTATCAGGTTTTTTTAAAAATTATAATCAATCGTTAATAAATTATAACTTAAAATTTTTCTTTTAAAGTCAACCAAATGAAGAACAATTGTATGGTCGACGTATTTTACTCTTTTCATATGGTTCTGGTTTAGCATCATCAATGTATAGTGTTGTTTGTCGTAAAGTTCATGAATGTCGTTTTACACTTGCACAATTACAACGAAGTATTCAACGTGCACGATATCGACTTGATCATGAAAGAGTAGAAATAACACCGGATTTAATGGATAAATTATTATTAGAACGTGAAGAAAATGAACATAAAGGTGAGAATTTCTCAAAAAAATAATTAAACAAAACAAATATTTATAATCTTTATTTTTGAATAGTACCTTTTATGCCAAAACAACCGAATGAAACATTAAAATCAGGTGATATTTATTTGAAATCTATCGATAAAAATCATCGACGTTATTATGATAAATTCATTGCAAATGACAACAGTGAAAGCGATAATAATGCTGGAAAAAATATAGAACAACTCTATGTAAGAAATTAAATATATCTATTTGTATCATGTTTTTTTTTTAAATTTTTGTCTTTAGGCTGAGTATTTTCAAAACCGCCAAACAAGCGGCGACACAAATGAATAGTGGTGATACTTAACATTGTTTTTTCTTTCTTTGTTTTATAGTAGTATCTTTTGGATTTTTGTTTGACGGTAAATTTCCTTTCTTTGATTTGTTTTTTTTTCAAAAAATCTGAAGATTCTTGTCGCATACATGTATGTGAGTTTTTGTTTTTTGTTACTGCTATTACTACTAGTTTTCAATAAGATCCTTGTTTCCATGTTCAAAAAATTGCAAAATACGTATCTAAAAGATTGAGATAATATTTTCTCTTTTAGTGATCATACATTTGTTAGAATTGATCATGTGACTGAGTTGTTTCTTGAAAATTCAACAAGATGTTTATACAAACGGCGATATTCTTTTCGTATTGGTGCAAATGTAGAATTTAAAATAGTATAGATATATGATTTTTCTTCTTGATTATTGGTGATTAATGATATGGATATTAAATACATAACAAAATTTTGATTTATTCAAGTGAAAAATCAATCTTTATTTATTTTTTTCAATAATAATGCATCTTAGAAATTATTGTTAGACATTAGACAAATCTTTTGATTTCACAAACGGAACTTTTAGTTCGTTAGTAATGATAGTTTGGTTATATTTCATTTTGTATTCATGGAATAATTGATAGTATGGATTTGATTAGACGTCATCTGTTGTGTACTATGCATTCTAATATCTGTAGTTCTTCACATTTAAATTATTGATCTGGACATTATTGATGTATTCTTGTATACTCGAAGGATTTAACTCATTATTTATGTAAAACGGATGAAGATACCTAACTTATTAAAGATCCGATATGTATATACGATTCTTATACTTTTCGATGTTTGGGTAATTATGAATTAGGAAGATGACAACAGCTACAATGTTTTATAATTTGATTAATTTTTCTATTACAAAGGATGTGTGTTAATTGGTTGCACTTAAGATCCGAAATAACATTGTTGATGTGTACAGTATAGTTCTTGAATGATAAATAAAGCAATAATGACGACCAATACAATCACTTATCGGGGGAAATACTATAGAATTTGATGTAAATAGCATAGTTCTTCCGATTTCTCTTTGTTAAAACAACATTCCTCTATTTATCATTTTAATGCAAAAAAAAACGAGCATGTAATTGATATCATTAAAATAATGAAACAGTTTTATACATTTTGTTTTGGATATGATTTTAGCAAAGACATATCAACAATATTTTTAGAAGCATTAATCTTTTGAACATTGATCAGTATTTCGTTTCATACTTGAGTAATAACTCTTTCAATACAATTGTCTCATCTTTTTCTATTTAACAGTTAAAGATATAATTACATATAGAATTGTGGACGAAGAAAAGGATGTATGAAAGAATTTTTTTTTCATGACTTTCGTGTAATAGAAAGAGTAAGAACAACAATTTCTCTTGTTCTTTTCTTACGAATTTTTTTTTTATAATGGTCTGTTTTGCTTTTCGTAATTACACACGTCATAGCAATAGAATATTGCCATTAAATGACAAAAGTATCAAAAAGCAAGATAGATATCAAATCTAACATGTTCCTTTTTCGATGTATTTTAATTCAGCAGAAAATAATGTTACATATACATTAGTGGTAATAAATATTCTTTTGTAAGTATTTTTTTCGAAACCTATTATTATCAGTTATAGAATGAGAAATCAACTAAATCAAAGATACGTGATTGTAATTGATATGATACTATTTCATGGAAACAAATTCTATTTTTCATTCAAACATCCATTGGTATGCTGTAGCATATGGTAAGTGTTTGACTATATAATGAATAAACATTAGTGATACGTCGGTTTCATCCTTCCATTACTTATTAGAAAAATGCAATTGGGAAAGAATCTCAATCGCGTACAAATCAGATTTTTATCTGTATATTATTTTGAATCTTGTGAGTTAGTTCGAAAACATATTGAAGATATAGAAAAAAAGAGAAACATGCATTTTAACATATGATAGTGCAATAGAAATATATAATCATTGCGGTTACACTCAATTATGAATCATACAGTAAATTTTACCTGAAAACCAAATGTTACAACAGATTTTTGTTAGGAATATTCAACGAATTTATTCTTTGCTTACTCTATTTAGTATACTGCAAGATATGAAATACAATTCTCAGACAAATCGTACAGTAATAATAATTAGCTTTCTGACTTTTAACATAAGACTTGGTACAGGAAAAAAGAATTTTCTATCGAATATTCTGATTTCCAATAGATTGAAATCGTTTTTGAATTTGAATTTAAAATAAAATATGATGCTTCGAACATCGAGAGAATAAAATCTTTTTGTTAGTAAATCTTAAAGACTGATGGAGGACACAAATATAGAACAATTAATCAGAGAATGTGTTTTCTTTAATTTTCAATTCAGGAAATGAATTCTTTAAATATATTTCTGCATTATATGAATTGCTGACATTGGCTCTTTTAAAATGGTATAAGATTCGAATGATTGATAAGATGAATAAAGTCTTCAAATATGTTGTTAGTATCTAAGAGATTGATGTGGAAGCATTTTTTTTTTGTTTTTCGTTACTTTCTAATACAACAGCATGATCTGTATATGTGACCAATCAATATATATCATATACAATGATCATGAATTAATTTAATAGCGATCTTTAGTCATTGTATGCATAAATAAAAAAAATGTATAATAGAATTAGTTTCAATAAATAATAAAATGTAGAAAGTTCGATGCATAGTCGAAATGGGCTTTTGATCAAATTAAGAAAGCCTTGAATATTTGATGAATATGTAAAATCATCAATAATTGGGCTTGATACTAATCTAGATACATCTCTCTGAATATCATGAAGTTTATTTTGTTAGCGGACGTTTTCACATCGATAATTCTTTATTTGAATAGAGATAAATATGAAGAATGTTTCTTTTTATTAAATTTAAATCAAGACAAAAGAAATGATAACCTAATTATTGATGTCATTTAAACGATGGTATATTTCACTATTTTCATATCGATAATGGTTACTTTTCCCTTACAAACTTGTATTAAATATGACAAGGAAGCGGTTAAGTAATTATGTGTAGAATGGAGAAACAGTACATGGTGCCAACCAGAATGAAGAAAATGTGATAATGACAAACATTTGACAGTTATAGAGCATTATTGATCATAAGTTCGTTGAGTTTGATTTCTATTCATGAAAGAATCGTTTTATTCTCAATATGTTAATGTCTATCAACCTTTCAAGTTCTGAAGTTGATGGATCGTTGGCTAAGAGAAAATTTAATTGTCTAATAGTGAAAAGAAATGAAAAAGAAACGAAAATTATTTCTTTTACTTTCCAAACATTGTCTCTTTTCCAATGGAAATGAAAATGACGTACATTTGGCTTAATAAGAACTGATTGTGTTCCGTGATGATTATAGTTCAAATGAATGATGTCACCAGATCGAGATTAGAGGAAGATCAATCCTTTTCTCCGCAGTGTACATCCAGAGTGACATTAGATGAGAAAACAAAAGTGAACATTTAAATAATCGAAATACAAGTACATACACTTTGACACATGCTCTATATGGTGCTATGAAAATTTTTGTTAGTAGCTGCTCAAATAGTGTTGGAAAGGAGTCGATATAGGATTAGCCTTAAAATAGCAACATCTAACGGAAAATCGATCATACTTCAAAATCAACAAAATAGTAAGCGATATCGTTTTATACCTTCGAATATGCTAATTATTTTCTATATGCGTAAAAAAATGTTTCTTATACTGATTGATTCGTGTCAAGGAGTTTCATATTTTTTTCAGCGATAAATGTCTCGCGAAAAACTGCATTCAATATAATAAACGTACACACTTTAGTACAAGTCCAAATTCTTTCAAATATTGATAGAATCCTCTTCAAGCTATACTATATTTATGCTGTTAGGCCGCATTAGCCCGAAGATTCCTTGACTGAGCTACGGTGTTTATAAAAACCTCAAGTTTTAGGTAAAATATAGTTTTCTAAGAGCAGAAAAATTTTCATAAGAAATTAATATGACAATCAGAATCAGTTTGTCAAAATCCATCGGTTAATGTATACAAAATACATTTTTCAGAAAAATATGGACAAGGGTGCTTGCAGACGTGTTTCATTGAAAAAGTTTTTTTTTTCAAAAATGGTTCTCTAACCGATACGCAATCACTTCTGAGAAAAAGAAATCCATTTCCGAACAAGAAATTTATGTGTACACCTGCCATGTGAAAAATATACTGTATTGCTGTCCTCTCTTCTCTTACAATCGGTTGAGTTCTGATTAATAAAAAGAGGCTTGAATTACATCTAGAAATGTTACGAGAGAAACTTCAGTCCTTCTATAGACATGACCAGAGAATGCATGCGTTTATCGTACAACTTTTTTTCTGGTTATGTCACTATTCTATTGTTTTGCGTAAACAACACAATATGAATAAGTCAATGACAAATATGTTTCATTACAACAGAGTTCTCAATAACAAGCAGTTAACTTTTTGTTCATGGAATTTTCAATAATAATTTTATAGCTAAATTTTAGAATTTGTCATTGATTACAAAATATTTCAATAAGATTAATAATGTTATTTGAATTTGTTAAATTGTTTTTTAAGATTAGTTGAATCTGCTCCTGTTAAACGATAAATTTCTTTTCCTAGTTTAAATAAAACAAAATTTGATAAAGCATTTATTGAAATAGTATTTGATAAATCATTATTATTGTCAATATTAATTTTCATAAAAATAACATGTGTCTTATAATCATTCAATGCCCATTTATATAAAATAGGTGCAATTTGTAAACATGGTTGACACTAATTAGCATAAAAATCACAAATAATCAATACATTAACATTTAGTGTATCATGTATTAAATCATGAAATTCTTTTTGTGTAGTTATTTCATGAATTTTATTCATATATGGATTTAATGGTAGAGATGAATCTTGATCTGATTGAGATTTCAATGATATTTGTAATGAAATACTTGATGTTATTATTG